ATAGACTATATCACAGGAAATTCTTAAATTGTCCTGAATTCCTGCTTTATGGCCCTAAAATGCCAAAAATGAGGAAAGGTCATGGCGAAGCGATGACTATTGTTCATTATGTCATTTTTTATGGGCCCGTAACATTTTAGAAGATCTGGGCCAGTCGCCCGAATTCATGCAAATGGCATAGACTATAGCACCAGAAAATCTTCGAATCATCCTGAATTCCTGCTTTGTGGCCCTAGAATGCCAAAAATGAGGAACGGTCATGGAGAAGCGATGATTATTGTTCATTAGGTCACTTTTAATGGGCCAACAAAACTTTCGAAGACTCGGGGCCGGTCGCCCGAATTAATGCAGATGGTGTGGACTATAGTACACGAAAACCTGGAAATTGTCCTTCCTGTTTTATGGCACTAAAATACCAAAAACGAGGAACGATCATGGCGAAGCGATGACTATTATTCTTAGATTGTTTTTTATGGGCCCGTAAAATTTTGGGAGATTTGGGGCCGGTCGCCTGAATTCATGCAAATGGCGTGGATTATAGCACACAAAAATATTGAAATCGTCCCGAATTCCTATTTTATGGCCCTAAAACGCCAAAAACGAGGAACATTCGTGGTGAAGCAATGACTACCATTCATTAGGTCATTTTTTATGTGCCTGAATTTATACAGATGGCGTGGACTATAGCACACGAAAATTTGGGAATCGTCCTGAATTCCTGTTTTATGGCCCTAAAACACCAAAAAATAAGGAACAGTCATAGTGAAGAAATGACTATTGTTCATTCGATCATTTTTTTTTAGACCCACAAAATTTTAGGATATTCGGGATCGGTCTCCCAAATTCATGCAGATGGCGTGGGCTATAGCACACGAAAATCTGAAAATCGTCCTGAATGTTTATTTTATGGTCCTAAAATACAAAAAAAAGGAGGAACGGTCATGGCGAAGCGATGACTATTTTTCATTAGATCATTTTTTATGGGCCTGTAGAATTTAGGAGATTTGGGGCCAGGAATCTGAATTCATGCAGATGGCGTGGACTAAAGCACACGAAAATCTGGAAATCGGCATGAATACATGTTTCATGGCCCTAAAATTCCCAAAACAACAAGGAACATTCATGGCGAAGCGATGACTATTGTTCATTAGGTCATTTTTTATGGGCCCGAATTTATGCAGATGTCATAGACATAGCACATGAAAATTAGGGAATCGTCCTGAATTCTTATTTTATGGCCCTAAAATGCCAAAAAATAAGGAACAGCCATGGCGAAGTAATGATTATTGTTCTTTAGGTCGTTTTTATGGCCCCGCAAAATTTTAGGAGATTCAGGGCTTGTCGCCCGAATTTATGCATATGGCGTGGACTATGCACATGAAAATCTAGGAATCGGCTTGAATTCCTGTTTTAAGATCCTAAACGCAAAAAAAATAAGGAACGGTCATGCTGAAACAATAAATATTATTCATTAGGTTGTTTTTTATGAGCCCGCAAAATTTTAGGAGATTCCGGGGCCTGCACCTGAATTCATGTAGATTCCATGGACTATAGCACACGAAAATTTGGGAATCGTCTTGAATTCTTATTTTATGGCCCTAAAACACCAAAAAATGAGGATCGGTCATGGCAAATCGACAAATCTCTTTCATCAGGTCATTTTTGATGGTCCACAAAATTTTAGGCGATTTGGTGCTGGTCGCTCGAATTCATGAAGATGGCGTGGATATTAGCACACGAAAAATCAAAAATCGTGTTTGATTCCTATTTTGCGGTACTAAAACACCAAAAAATAAGGAAGGGTCATGGATAAGCAATGACTATTGTTCATTAGGTCATTTCTGATAGGCCCGCAAAATTTTAAGCGATTCAGAAACTTGGAAATTGTGATGAATTCCTGTTTTATGGCTCAAAAATACCAAAAACCAAGGAACGCTCATGAAGAATCATTAGTTATTATTTATTAGATCATTTTTTATGGGCCCATAAAATTTTAGGCGATTTAGTGTTGGTCGTCCAATTCATGAAGATGGCGTGGGCATTAGCACACGAAAAATTAAAAATCGTATTGAATTCCTGTTGTGTGTCCCTAAAACGCCAAAAAAAGGAACGGCCATGGAGAAGCAATGACTATTGTTCATTAGGTCATTTTTGATAGGCCAACAAAATTTTAGGCGATTCGGGGCCGGTCGCCCGAATTCATAAAGATGGTGTGGATATTAGCTCATAAAAAATCGGACATCATGCTGAATTCCTGTTTTATGACCCTAAAATGGCAAAAAAAAAAAAAAAAAAAAAAAAAAAAAAAAAAAAGAGGAACGGTTATGGAGAAGCAATGCCTATTATTTATTAGGTCATTTTTATGGGGCCAAAAACTTTTAGGCAATTCAGTGCCAGTCGCCCGAATTCATGAAGATGTGTGGACATTAGCACACGAAAAATAGAAAATCATGCTGAACTCCTGTTTTATAGTCCTAAAACATCAAAAACGTGGAACAATCATGGAGAAGTAATGACTATTGTTCATTAGGTCGTTTCTGATGGGCACATAAAATTTTAGGTGATTCGGTGCTAGTTGCACAAATTCATGAACATGGCGTGGACATTAGCACACGAAAAATCAGAAATTATGCTGAATTCTTATTTAATGATCCTAAAACGCAAAAACAAAATGAGGACCAGTCATGGAGAATCAATGACTATTATTCATTAGGTCATTTTTTATGGGCCCACAAAATTTTAGGCGATTTGGAGCACGTCACCCGAATTAATGAAGATGGTGTGGACATTAGCACACAAAAAATTTGAAATCGTCCTTAAATCGTCCTGTTTTATGACCCTAAAACACCAAAATTAAAAAGAATGTTCATGGCGAAGATATGTAATTCTAATTCTAGGGGTTCCTCTTACTCAACTTTCTTTGTTTTAGTTTCGCATGATAGTATGGGTGGCTTGAAGTCAGGCATCATTTGTTTTTTTAAAGATTAAGATGTATGAATCTGAATACATATCTGAATATCAAAATATGTATTAAGTTTAAGACATCTGAATCTATATACACATCTGAATACTAAGATGTGTTTTAAGATCTGAATATTAAATGATTAAAACTGTTTCTTTTTTAAACATCTAAATATATAGAATTTAGCTTTATATAAAAATTAATAAACATAAATTCAAATAAAATATTAATTAATCATTCATTATATATATATATATATATATATATATATATATATANTAATTGTTTTCATTTTAACAAAAAAAAAAATACTTTCTTTTCATTATATAGAAAAAGTATTTTATTTCATTTCAACAAAATGACGCAGTAAAAAGTATTTTCTTTCATTTCAACAAAAAGAGTTTTTTCTTTTCATGATATAGAAAAAGTATTTTCTTTCATTTCAACAAAAAAAAAATTCTTTTCATGATGTTAAAAAGTATTTTCTTTCATTTCAACAAAAAAAAAATTCTTTTCATGATGTTAAAAAGTATTTTCTTTCGTTTCAACAAAAGGAGTATTTTCTTTTCATGATTTAGTAAAAAGTATTTTCTTTCATTTCAACAAAATAAGTACTTTATTTTCATGTTGTACAAAGAGTTATTTCTTTTTTAACCAGAAAAAGAGTATTTTTTTTAGTTATGGAGCACAAATTTCAACATTGTTTTGCATAAAATATTAAAGCAGCACATTAGTTCCTTTGGGTTTGTGTGAATTTTTAGAAGAATAATTAAATTCCTGAGAAAAATAGTCCTGAAAACGTTGGGTATTTGGGAGGGAGAGGTAAAACACATGGAACGTGGGGACTTGGGGAAAGGGGGGGTGAGGAGAGTAGCATAAAAAATTGTTTACCTAAAATATATTTTCTACTCTCTAACCAAACACTAGAAAATATTTTCCGCAAAAAGTTTTTCACTCACCAACCAAACAAGGAAAAATAAGTGATAAAACCACTCATTTTTCATGAAAAACATTTTCCTTCGTACCAAACACACCCTTAGTGTCGTTTGTAGGTTTGCATCATATCTCTATCAACAGTACCTTGACGGTTTGGAGCCAAATGCTGCTGAAACTAGAACCTCTGATGATGTTAATGAGGCCTCCCGCTTTTGAAAAATTTTTCTATTGATACCTTGTAAAGTTTTTACATCTACAAGTCTAAATGCTACATTGATGGGCGTGTAAATCGTTTGATTTCCCTTCACCTCCCTAGTTTGAATTACTTTGTGGATGTATAGAACAAAAAATAAAAATAAAAATTGTTTCCAAGTGCCTTCACGAGTATAAGATTGAGACTGGGTTGCCCTTCTTTTTTTTTTTTCTAATTAGCTATTACAATAAATATTTAAGAAAAGGCAAAACGGCTTTGTATGTTTTAATTCTGTCTAATTCTACTATTGTTTAGGTGGAGACTGTACAGTTTTTTCAGGGTTACATGCCTGATATTGTATGCAAGCAGGTGAGCTGGTCATTGCCTATGTGGGATTGGTCCAAATGAACATATATGATACCTGCCGTTAGGTACATAACCTAGTTGACCTTGTGTCGGTGATGGTATAGTGCTTCTGGTGAAAGTTAAAAGAGGATTTTCTTATGCTCTTAGCCCTTTTTTAGGCCCCGGGAAGAACTGAGGCTGTTTAGGATTCAAAGGATCTGCAGAAGTTCACTAGTTGTGTGTGTATAAATCTGTCACCTAGGATGAAAACACATGCGTTCCAAAGAGAGCCAAAATTTAAGAAGAATCCCTTCCCCGCAGCGTTCCTTTTGTAAAGCAAGAAATCTTAGAAGGCGCGTAAATGAGAGCAGCTGCTACGAGACATCTGACGTTGTCAAGTAGGGTGGATGACAATAACCTGCAAAAAATTTCTCCAATTTGGTATAGGACAAACCATACATCTTCATGCTGATTCTCTCAAACTTCCTCTTCCTAAACAAATGACAGCTCAATGACCTTTTCAATGCTCTTAGCTATGTATTCTACCTAAGATCAGAATAATGCTTGTGAAAATGTTGAATTCTCTAAATAGAAGTACATTAGAATAGTGGGTAGTACAAAGAATTAAGGAACATGTATACTGTGAAAAATATGAGTAGAGAATGAGTTGCCAAAATCTCGAGTTAACCTAACCTGAAATTTGACCATTTACAAGCCGGCTACCTCATTCACATAAAGGACTGTATTTAGAGAATCTCCTCCATTCAAATCATGTGAAACTTTGGACTATCAAGTTGGAATCATAGTTGGAGTTCATTAGTATCCCCAATATTCACAGGATGCAAATCTTTGTCAAGCTCCTCATAGTAACAAGTTATCGGCTGTTCTGCACAGTCGCCTGGCTTAGTGAGGCCAGACTTCTTTTGGCTGATAATGTCCGTGTCATGAATCTATTCTATGTAATGTCAGATGAATAAGTAGTAGCCTCATTATGGTGCCTCTAAAGGAGAACGTAGGACAGGCGTATATCATGAGATTCATAGATGATGGTAATTAGCAATTTGGCTAATGAGCCATTAGCAATCATCAGCCTCATGATTTTCTCTTCATACAGCAATATTACCATCAGATTTAGTTAGACCTTTGGAGGCAAGGGCACTTCAGCCAGTGAAGAAATAAGATCTTCTCGTGACTGGGATCTCCTGCTCTGGAGACGCTGTTGGCTTCTGTGTGGGGACCAGAAGGAACCCGTGCTACTACTTTCAAATTGCATCTGACCCAAGCTCCCTGATGAAAAACTATGTGCGACACTACTAGACGATGAATATAAAGAAGATTCAGTGAGCTGGATACCATTGCCACCGAAACCATGCCCAGTGTCAAATGGTCTCTGTTGTGTATTAGCAACTGTTGGACTGAGTGGCATTTTCACTCTTCCTTCACCTGAAAGACAAATTGGCGTGATCTAAGGAGGATATCTGAGAAATAGTGCTAATAGTAACAGCAATATAAAAGAGAACTATAAAGTTTTAAGTCGATTTCTCAACTCATAATTAGTAAGGCACAGAGATCTCAATGTAGGAACCGTGGAAAAGGTCAAATTCATTACTCCTTAAATATCAAGACGGTGCCATAAGTATGTTATCTATACGACTCAAACTGGTGTTACCTTCTCACTCTAATCCACAACAATTAATGATTATTCTTACCAAAAGGTAATCTTCCTGAGCTAATACTAATAGTTTAAACAGAATTGCTCCTTTAGAAGATGACAGTCTATGGCAGCAAGAAAAGATCATAAGTTAGAGGAAACTGTCTACGCCTGAGGCATAAAAAAATCCATTCAACACCACTTTGCAGAAGCCTTAATATGACAATAAGATACTCAATTGATCTGAAAGCTAGATCCATTACTAACCATAGAGCAGCATTAACAACTGGTATACAAGCAATTGTTGTGTATATTTGGTGTGACTTCATTTCTGAATCCATCATTTTTTAAAAATCAGTGAAACTGTCATATTTTCTTCCAAATTAGACTTTGAAATTAGTACTATCAGAAATGTATAATTCAAGTGTATAAAAAGCTTCCAATAAACAGATAAATGGGGCACAGAAGTGAACTTGATTTCAAAAGAGCTTCCTACCCATAAAAGCGATGAAATTTTTTGTTTTGATTTCCCTAACAAGGACAGCGATGGACATATTCTAAACTAGAATAGCACGGTACACATGATTTTCAGAAGAAATTACCTGTAATAACAGGACTCCACCGCCTGAAACTGAAAGGAGCTGGAATGTTGATTATAGATGTGGATGAAGCACTATTATTCCCAAAAAGGGGGAGATATTGCCTACGGAAGAACCTGGGCATCCACTTCCCAACACATGATAATGCACAAAGAAGAACAGCTAATGAAGCAAACAAAATAGCAAACAGAATAATTGGGTGCATCTTCATGAGCAATAGCTTGTAACTAATAAGTTCCACCCCAGTTGAAACTGCCTTTCCAGCTTCCAACAGTGCAACACCTAGTGTCCAAGTAATACTTCCGGAACCAATGGTTACCTGACTATCAGTAATGTGCAAGCCTTCTCTCAACAAAAAGACAACGTATGGTGCCCTGAAGCAATACTGTTCTATGAAAGGCTGAGGTGCAACACTAGTCTTTGCGACATCCCAAGTCTTCTCACAAAATTCCTGACCCTTTTCTAATACATCATCCAGCGCAGCATCAGGGGTCAAGTTGAAAAAACGATATACCACGTAAAAACCAGACATAGCATAGAACTGGCCATAAGGACGAGGAAGATTTTCTGCAAGAGCACAGGGCTGCAACTCACAATCAATTCCTGGATTTTTGCCAGACCATTCAGACAAATTGACAGCAACTTTTGCAAGTGAATTGCATTCTTCCCATTTTGGAGCTCCAACAAGCTGAACACGAACTCCAGGCTTTCCCCCTTTACCAGAAACTTCTCTCCCAGTGGTAGGATTACCACCTTCTTGGTATAGGGAAACACAATGAGTACAGATATATTGCTCCTTGTAACCAGAATTCAAACACGGATGCTTGATCTCAATGTTTCCACTGGTGAGATCTGCATTACTGATCTTGGGAAGCCTCTTGAGAAGCTGAACTACAGACTTGTCAAAAGCATCATTCAGGCCATATCCTGCTAAGGAATAAGCAGTAAGATGATGATTAACTGCACCAATATTCAGCTCTAAGCTAGTTTCATCAGGGAGATTTTCCTTGCTCTCAAAAGTAACCTGCAACGATGAGCCACCTAAGTCAAGTGCACCAAATGTTCCTTTTTTAGGTTTTGCCCCCAATATACCGGTGTGGTAATTCATAGCTATCCATCCATAATAGGCTTCCTCCATGCCAGTGATAGTTTTAACCCATTCTCTCTTGCACATAAAAGGCGAACTTTTTAAAATGGACCAAGCATTGTTGAGAAGCCATTCTGAATCTGAATTTGGCAGCCTGCGGACCCCAGCCGTAGCATAAAGATAGAGATAAGTAGATTTATGCGCATGCTTGGGGATTTGCTTCACTGCCCACTTAATTAGTGGCTTGATTGCTTTTCTCAAGCCAGATGTGTTGTGCACCAATTTGTCAAATCCAGGTTCTGTCTCCATTCTGTTGTAAGCCCGTCCACTCTGTAATCTTGAGTTTCTCTGGAAACCCTCTGGCAGTGATCTCAATACAATAGGGAGATCGCTATCTTTTTTATAGTTAGGGGATGATTGATATACATAAACACGAGTCCCAGTACTACCACAATCAAGCACAACATAAAACTTTGACTCTCCGCGGAATAAATTAAGATAAAAAAACAACATATATAAGAGAAATGCAACCAATAGCAAGCAGAGGAGAACTAAGATAACTCGCTTCCATTTCGTTCGTGCAGAATTGACTGCTGGTGACCCCTTCACCTTGGAGAAGCTTGTACCCAAATTTTCTCTCTTGAAAAGATTTAGCCGTTTTAAATTAGTTGAACCCCTCTCTATTTCAGGGTTAAGATCACCATCTTCCAGATCAAGCCGCCGATATGCAGAAAGATCTTGAAGGGATGAGGAAAGTCTCAACTTGTTCTTCTGATCTAAGCTGGAAATATTAAGTGAACCTGGCAGAGGTGGTAACCCCGATGATGGATATGGAGTGCTAGACGTCTTTGGGTTCGAGAAACGAGCCACTGCAGCGGAAACAATTTCTGTAACTTTGTTAAGCACCATGCTTGCACTACAAATTCTAAGCAAAGTTACTCTTCACGCCAGAGTTTTCTAGTCCATTCTTGCATTGTACATGAAAAGCTTATTGACTATCATCATACAGTAGATAAGTCAGCCGCATAAGCATAGCACATGATACACCAACGGGACCTGTAAGGGAAGAGTGTCCTGCAGGGATTATCCCAGAAAGAATAACGAAATATTAAAAATGAATCAAAATCATTTGAATGCGGTGTAATGGTAAGGAGAATCAAAGAGGGGCTATGGCCGTAGATCTCCAGTATCTACATCATGCTTCAGTAATTAAGTTAGTATGTGTTTAATGGCACCCACACGTGAAGCAACTCAACTGAAGATGAACCAAAAAGACCTATCACATCGAAGTATATGCTCAATTACAGCATATGCACCAAGTCATTGACACAGTATTTCTATGTGCGTCCCCTTGCTTAACTCTAAATATACGAGCTTCGCATAGCCAGCCTCAAGTCCAAATAAAGAAGATGAGTGGTGGTTGGTTGACAGACAATGTAAAAATGGTCATACTACCATGAATCCTCCAAATATTTTATTCTTTTGTACACAAATAGTGCGGAATAGATATAGAGTATTCATACAGCCGGCCCCAACTAGTATGGGACTGTGACTTCTTTTTTGTTAGGTAAAGTTTTATACGGGACTGCGAACTAGTCGATTCAAACATCTCCAACCTTCATTTTTCCTAGAATTTTGCACTAGTAATATAAACATTTTACCCGTATGGATTTTAAAAATAAGAAGATAAACATGCCACCACGGATAGATCAAATAAATTACACCACGGGAAATCCATGATTTGAATTCATGATGCCACTAAACCCGCTGACCATTTGAGTTACTCGATTCGCAATTTCATATTTATACATGTAGGAGCATAGAAATCGAGGAGGACGAGAGGGCTATGCGTAAGATGAGCAGGGGCAGAGCGACGAGCCAGATGAAATTCCAATGGAATTTTGGAAGCACTTGGGTGGGGCAGGCTTGGAGTGGCTTGCCGGGTTGTTTAACGTTATTTTTAGGATGAACTATGAAGAAGATGCCAGAAGAATGGCAGTGGAGTATGATGATTCAATTATACAAGAACAAAGGTGATATCCAAAATTGCAACAACAATAGGGGCATCAAATTACTTAGTTATACTATGAAGGTTCGGGAAAGGGTGGTGGAAATGGCTGGATTCACAAGTTATTCCCAAGAGAGGAAGTTACAAGTTTCTTGGGTCTATGATCTAAAGGAATGGAAAGATTGACGAGGATGTCACACACCGCATCGGAGCCGGGTGGATGAAGTGAAGGCTAGCATCCCGTGTCTTGTGTGATAAGACTGTGCCACCGAAACTCAAAGGTAAGTTCTACAGAGTGGTGGTTAAACCGACTATGTTGCACGGGGCAAAGTGCATATCAGTCAATAATTCACATATCCAGAAGATGAAAGTAGCAAAAATGAGAATGTTGAGATGGATGTGCGAGCATACCAGATTGGATAAGATTAGGAATGAAGATATCGGGATGAAGGTGGGAGTGGCCCGCGTGGAGAACAAGATGTAAGAAGCGAGACTGAGATGGTTCAGGCATGTGAAGAAGAGAAGCCCACATGCCCTAGTGAGGAGGTGTGAGTGGTTGGCTTTGATGGGTAGGAGTAGAGGCAGAGGGAGACCTAAAGGGGGAGAAGATCAAGAAGGACTTGTCGCAACTTCAGCTTACCGAGGACACAGCCCTTGATAGGAGGGTGTGGAGGTCGAGAATTAGGATAGAAAGTTAGTAGGCAGTCGAGTGTATTTTTGTTCCATACCCATGGTTTTAGGGTTAGTTTGGTAGTTCCTTGTCTTAGATTTCTAGTAGTTCATGTTGTTTCCCCATTATCTTTTACCTCGATTTCTTAGTATTTTGTTGTTGGTACAGCTTGTTGCTATTGTTTCCTTTGTCGTTATTGTTTTTCTGGCCTTCTTTGTTGATATTGCTTGCTTATACTCTTTCCTTTCATCTTTTTTGAGCCGAGGGTCTATCGGAAACGGCCTCTCTACCTCCCAGGATAGGGGTAAGGTCTGCATATACACTAACCTCCCCAGACCCCACGTGTGGGATTTCACTGGGTTGTTGTTGTTATTGTATACATATTTAGTAGATTTCTTAACACATACCCATGGTTTGAGCCAAAGTTACTGGGTTGAACTCAACCTAAAACTAATAATATACATCCGCCGCTGAATTAAACATAAACTTACCACTCATCACTTTATGCTCGAGTTTCTTGTAGCATATATAAAGCACATCTACATCATTACTCAAAAAGAATGGAAAATTCAATCAGTAAATTCAAATTCAGTGTGAATCCGTATATCATTATTTCTTAATCTTTTCGAAATAAAATACCTACATTTAAACACTACATAAAAGTACGATAATCACAATCTTTCTTTTGTAGTTAAAATGCCATTATTTTTGGGCCGAATTTCAGTATCAACATTTCAGCATTAATCAACTAGATCTCATAAAATCATACAAATCCTAAAATGATTCTAAAACAGTAAATAAATTCGTGAAAATGCATATGAAAATCGGTAAATTTACTTACGGATCGGTAAAAAATCGTTTGATGGAGTAGAAAGGAGTGTGACTCGTTTGGCTGTTACCCTCAGTTTTGAGAGATCGTGAAGAAGGCTTTGAAAATGAAACAGATCTAAAAGGAGATTTGCTTTATAAATAGAACTGAAGAAATTTACCAACCAAACAGGTCTTGGTCGTTGTTTACGCTTGTTCAAAACCTTTTTCCCAATTGTTTTAAATTAAGACGGAAAATGGTGAATTTTATCTAATATATTTGAAATTACTTTATTTAATCTCATCCCCATTTATTGGGGGGG